ATATAGTTAGATAAGTCACTTGAACACTTGATTAATTCAGTATTATAGCTATAGTGACTGACCACTGGTATCCCAGGATACCTTACTAGGATTGCTAGCCAATCCCTGTTGCTCAGGCACATTTGTCGTCCACAATTTCACTCACAAGACTTGAGTCGACCCGTGGTATGGTTTTCTAACTGTTGCCAAATGTGTCATACGCTCGGATCGTCTCCCTCCGTCCGATAACATCAAGTAATTACCTTCATGACAAATCGACCATTGTGAGACTCGTGGTCACAAAACGAACTTGCTAACCAACCAAGCTAGTATGAAATAGCCATACTATTTAAACGATTTTGCAAGCTAAAAAAAACGTGATCACTGTTATATAAATTGATGTCATCAGTTCTCGACTTGGTATTAATGCTGATGACATAACTATTTACTGCTGATAGCTTCGATATGACCAAATTGGCAGCTGATCTCAAAAATTACATTTAATCTGTTGTTAACTGGGGCAAGAAATGGCTTGCTAATTTTAACATCTTGCTAGACAATTTTTATCACCAAAATATGCCTATGCCTACCATTCGTCCAGGAATTGAATATTGCTGTCACATCTGGTTAGGTCAGTCAGTTATGGGCCCTGCGCTATACACGCTTAGGCGATCATGTATCTTTCAACGGGGCAGATTTTTTTCCTGCAGTAGATTGCCATTTCTTTCTGCATTAGCCCAGTTGCCACCCAAGGCTATAGAACACGGTCTACCCTGCTATGTACCCATAGCTCGAAGTGAAGAAGAAGAGGATTCATACCTTTCCCAAGGGTATTAGCACGTAAGAGATAGCAATGGATTCGACTGGAATTCGAACTCGGCTCTTCGATTCCTCAATCCGAGCCGCTATCCAGACCGCCTCTGGTCAGGTGCTGTTGCTATTTATTTAGAGACTCTTGACAAAATTCAAATACGAATCTGCATTTTTGATTTTGATGCAGGGTCCTATTATTATTTATTTTCGACGATTTGCCAAAATTTAGGCGATTTGCCAAAATTTCGACGATTTGCTAAAATTGGCATACAAATATTAGTTCAATATTATTTTTTATTAAAAATGCTTGTAAGTAGAATTCCTCATAAAAGTTGGGAAGAATAAATACTCAACACTTCAAATACCAAGGTGTATGAATAAGTTATAATACTATATGAGATAAGGAAATTGAACGTAGAATAGGCTGTGTGTGGAACCTTTTAATCCAACACCGCAAGATGCTAGAAAATTCAAACACTGGAACTGCTCAGCAACCTTGATATATTCGGGAAAGATATCAGGACCTATACTTTGGCAGTAAACATCATAATCAGGCCAGAGATAGGACGAGAACAGTACGGGTTCGTTAAAGACACTGGAACAAAGAATGCAATATTCATGCTCAGAATGTTATCAGAAAGAGCAATACTGATGCAGAAGAACGTGTATCTATGTTTCATAGACTATGCAACTGCCTTCGACAAAGTACGCCACAAGGATCTGCTGGAACTGCTCAGCAACCTTGATATATTCGGGAAAGATATCAGAATAATCAAGAACCTATATGGGCAACAAACAGCATGCATGCGCATAGGAAACGAGTTCAGTGAATATACAAACATAGAAAAGGGCGTAAGGCAAGGATATGTCTTCTTACCGGACGTGTTCAACCTATACAGCGAAGCAATTATGAGAGAACTGGAAACCCAACCGGGATTTAGCATTGGCGGCCACAATCTTAACAATATAAGATACGGAGATGACACAGTACTGATAGCAGACACGGAAATGAAATTAGAAAATCTCCTACAGAAGGTGGTGACGGAAAGTGAGATGAAAGGACTAAGCATAAATTACAAGAAGACAGAAAGGATGAGTCCGAAATGCGATTTGCGAGTCGGGAATACTAGAATCAAGCAGAAATGGAAGTTTAAATATCTGGGAAGCGTTTTGACAGAGGACAGTAAGTGCGACAGTGAGATCCGTAGACGTATTGTAATGGCCAATGATGCATTTCAAATGCTGGGCAGAGTATTGCAAGACAGGAGGATTTCTTTGGTAACAAAGAAAAGAATATTGAGCTGTTACGTGACATCTGTTCTTCTTTACGGCAACAAATGTTGGACGATTTCCTCAAAGATGAAGAAGAGACACGGAGCGACGGAGATGTGGTTCTACAGAAGGATGCTTAGGATATCATGGACCGAGTGTGTGAGCAGCGATGAGATTGCAAACAAGGAGGAGGCTTATACTTAATATCAGGAAGAGGCAGCTGAAGTTTCTGGGACACATAATGAGGAAGGAAGGAAGGAAGGAAGGAAGGAAGGAAGGAAGGAAGGAAGGAAGGTCTGGAGAACCTGATACTCACAGTTCGAATAGAGGGAAAGAGAGACAAAGGAAAACAACGCATGGCATACCTAGCGGGTTTGAGCAAATGGATGACAGAACGTGGTCTGGAGGAGATGACAGAGGGAAGGAACTTGTTAAAGGCTGCAAAGAATAGAGGGAGGTGGAGAGCCATGATCGCCTATTCCAGATAGAGACTTTCATATGAATGTCGTACATGGTATCCAACTCATTCAGAAATGTTATAAACTATCAGATATATTTGCATTATTTACATTTTTCGGACAGTTATCCTCGTCTTCATTGCCATATTCACAACGTTTCGGCCGTTGTACGCTCCGGCTTTCTTCAGGTAATTGGAATTTCGAACCAAGACGAACACTTTATTTTGTCTACCAGGGGTAGATCATTTTAGTTCCACGGGCCATGTCTCTTCCGGATATCGCAGTTGACTCAACTCAAGTTTTGGTTCGCGACTGCTATGTCCTGGTATTGAACTCATAACTCTTTGGGTCCTTGCGGACACATAGATGTTATACTGAAACACACCTATTCTATTGTTAATAGACTCTCCTACATATAATAAGTAGTAGTGGTAGCAGTCGCCAGGGAGCTGAGTGAGTTGGTCTGTCAGTCGATGTCGGACATTAAAGTATTAACCACCACAACTAGATTGCTGCGTCATTAACTATTATAACAAGTTTCTAACGTTTTGTACGTCGAACCTTTTTTAGGGCCGACTTAGTGAAATACAAGCCTCCACTGTGAAACTACTCCACAATCCATTGGCGACGCGGGATTCGTTCTCAAACGGAGGAAGAAAAATTTTTCGTTCACTCTACAACAATAGCCCAGTGGATAAAGATGTTGGTTAGATCCAGTGACTAGGACAATCTACCCCGGTGGACGAAATAAAGGGTTTGGTTCGAAATTCCAATCATCTGAAGAAGGCCAGGGCGTATAACGACCGAAACGTTGTGAATATTGCAATGAAGATGAGCATAACAGTCCGAATAATGTAAATAATGTAAGTAATCGTAATACCTCTGAAGAGATATAGACAAATAGTATCAAATAGTATCAAATATATATTAAAACTTTCTCAGCTCAATGATTAAAAATGGCTTCCAGTGAATGAATCGTTTAGGTGTTAAAGAAGACAACACTCCGTCAGGTGCCATCGAATG